CCCCTTCATGCCAGCAAGCCCTTTTCTTTTGTAAAAAAGATTTTTCATGTATCACTAAAAGCTTTAGGTTTCCAGACGTTCCTACTACTGTCTTCTGCTCCTATTGTCACAGGATCATTTGTCTTGGCCTTGCTCACAGTGCCTCCACCAGCTATTCTTATACATTTCTTTACAAAAGAGCTATCAGAGCACATTCAGTGTGCCTCTGAAAGAATGCTACTTAAACAAGTCCATTCCAGGCAGATGGTTCCCAGGCATTGAACTGTAAAAGCAGCAGTATTAAGCAACCAACCATTCCCAAAACTTGAGGAGCTGCTACTTTCTGGGCAGCCGTAGAGCTCATGCTGACTCACCTGCTCCTGAGAGCATCCCCAAAGGGCAAATGGAGCATCCCCAAAGGGCAAATGGTGATGGTCAAGCACACAAAGAACAGTGTACAAGGTCAGGTAGGACACCCTGCAAAGGAATTAAATGTCTGGGGTGTGACAGACTATATTTCCATCAACACCTACCCAGGTACAACAGGAGCAGCTCAGTAAATTGAAGCAGTTGAGACTCAGATAAGCTGTCTCCATTCTGCAGACTAAGCATCCCTGGGATGCACAAGCCTCAAAGCTATTCCAAGGAGCCTTTCCATTCTCAGCTCTGCAAGTGCCACTTGGAAGTGCCAGGCTGTACTTTCAGCCATCCTATGCAGATGGCCCATGCCACTATCCTAATGGTCTATCACTTATCCCCTTTCCCACAGGAACACTGCTCAGTGCCAGGTATGCCATACTGCTGCCTGACCCACCTCCCTGTTCCAAGCTCAGGTAACGTTCAACTCTGAGGGAGAGTAGGTGGCTTACTCCTGTGACTGCAGCAGGGACAACATCTGAAAGCCTCTGGAGCTCCTTCTTCTCCTAAGAAACAAAATACACAGTTTTCCTGGGAGTTGTGGAGTCAACCATAAACTCTGGGCTTAGTATTAGCAGGACCATGTGGGATCACTCATAACAGGCACAAAGCTTTTCTATGTGGAGAAGCACCAGTAAGAACTTTGGCCGTGAGCTGCCATGACTTCAACACACTCCTCTGAACCCAGAGGAGCACAAGCCCATGTTCAAGACTGCAGCTATTCCTTACACTGCCCAATTCCTGCTGATCAATGGCTCAACAGTCTGGAGTGAACATGGACAAAAAGGTGATTGAGGGCCCAGGGGCTATCACCCAAAACCTCTTCTTCCAGACACTAGAAAATGAAATCAGCTACCGCAGCCAGAGTTTTGTATTTTTCTGAGTTCTTGAGCTGTATGGGTGGTGTTGGTGGGAGCGATGTTCCTATGCAGTGCTTGAGCAAGGATGGTTATGACTGTGTACATCCCAGCAGCTATAACTTGATTCTTACATAGACCATGGTAGTACATCCACTGAGGCAGATGCATGAACACAAGAAGCTCATAATCTCTGACTTCCATACCACCACCCTCAGCATTGCAGGAACAGCTGGCACCTTCTTCCCATGCGAGGAGAAGAGTGTTTGCAGCAACAGGGAGCCACTACCCTGTGGATGACACTACCTGCAGCCGAGTCATGAGGTCCTACCCAATGATGGGCCCAGTTTAACCCTGTCTTTTTCACCACACAGCCTAAATTACAAGAACCTCTGATGCCTTGCAGCCTCTGCAAGGACAGAAGTGGGATAGGGAAAGTCACTTTCTCTGGCAGGTGTGTGTGCAGCTCTTGGCATCCCCTAGATGTAATCCCCTGCTGACACTCCAGCACAGCATCTGGGTCTGGAATGCCAGCCACCTTTTTGATGTCGTGGGCCATGAATATGCTGAGCCCAGGACTGCACTGAGGACAAATGGGAGAACATGAAGACTGTTTACCCCATCCAATACATACAGTGGGAAGATTATAAAAGTGTGAACATTGCTTACATGTCCTCCTGGCAGCTGCAGGAATAGGGCTGGAGGCACCTACAAATCCCTTGTCCCGCTCAGGTGTCTACCCTTCTGGGGTCCTCAGCCCACAGCCCCTTTGCACAGACACAGTTCCTCCTCCTCCCCAGTCCTTTCTGCTCTCAGATCCTAGTGTTGCTATACTGCTAAAAAAGACAAAGCCAACAGCTCAGAAGGCAGCTTCCTTGCTGCTTCTCTAGAAGAAAACAGGAGATTTTGGCAAGGTTTTTGGCAAGAAAGCAGATGCAAAGGTTTGAGGCAGTAAAGGAGGAGGCAAAGAGCAGACAGCTCAGCCTCCAACTCCTAATTAGGCTCCCTGGAACAGACACAAAGCACTAACATTAAGTGTAAAGGCTTGCTGAACTCCCAAAGCAATCCACCCTCCACCTATTGCATAGGGACAGTGTCTCTACCAGCTCTGGGATAACAAAGTCTCTGTGATAGAAGGGAGCTGAAAGACACTGTGAACCTGATGAAAATTATTCCATAATTCTGCTAGTTCAAGGTGTCCCCAATTATACGAAAAACCTCTGGCTTAGAATCATGGAGAACTCTTGTGAAATCTGCAAAGTATTGTGGAATGAGACTTCAGCTGTCACAGCATGGAGAGGAAACACCTAGCCTGTAGCTGGCACACTCACTGCAAGCTTTTGCTTACTAGACACAGCCTTAGAACACGACCACAAGAGAACCAGTTACAGCTTATGGGTCTAAGTGTGTAAAACCCCTTCCAGAGCAAGTAGGAACTTGTGACTCCAAACCCTGTAAAGAAACATGCTCCATGTTTCAGCTCATAACTGAAGATGTCCTGACAGGCAGTTCTTCAACAACTTTTCCCGATTCACAGATCTCCCTCTTTCGTCCAGACTGTGCAAAAACAGGGCAGCTGAACACATGGGAAGCAAACTTCACCACCAGGTACTGAGATCATTAAATGTCTGGGCTGTGCTTCTGAACACCTCAGATGCCCATGAAAACCACCACCACTGCTGCACTGAGTGCAACTAATGGGTAGTTTCTGTAAACCCAAGACAGGTTACACCTTGGTTAATTTGTCCCATTTCCAAACATTAAAAACCCCGAAAAATCTACTCTCTTCCTGTACAAACTTAGCTTCGTTTTCAGTCATTTCTGGGAATCCTGATCATGGAAAGCATTCCCTCCTTCTCAGCCCACACACAGATTCCAAATACATGTTTAGGACCAACTACTGTTGGCATAGTGACCTTAAATACACAGACACTAAATAGACAACTGTTGCAATGCACAGCGCCTCTGGAAGCACGGCTTTTAAACGAGATCACTGTAATGCTGTCCAGTTTAATTATTCCAAATAGTTGAAAATAAACTCAAAAGTTTAAAACTATGCACCACTTATGATGGTAATCATTTCATCGTAATACTGCTACAGCTAATCCACTGAGATTTTGAAAAATGAGTACAAACCAAACACAGAACCAAAATAGCATGAATGAGAAGCAAATTTAAAATACCATCACCAAAGTCCGTATCCAACAAAGCCTCCCACTTAATTCCTACAGACACAAAGCCTAGTGGAAAATGATGCTTATCTTGAGAGGCAAATACCAATTTTAAATGGCTGTGGAAAGCAACAAGCCAAAGAAGCTGATGAATACAATTAGCTACTCCAAGAAAAGCCCACAAAAGCTAAGTGCATGAGCTGCAACAGTGAGGGTTTCTGGAAATGGTGATGCACTCCATGTCCAATACATATGGCGTCAAAATACAGCACATGCCACATATCAGTCTGCTAATGGGCAAGCTTTGCTCCAGCTTCTTCAAGTCACTTATGAAGTCATTACATCTATAGAGCCTGCTCGATCTTCCAAGATGGGATCTTGGGGAAACTTCAAACACAACACCTGCTCACTGGAACTTGGAGGCTCCAGCACCTAAAGCCTGGCACCCTTAAGCACCAGGCCGAGCCAGACTATGAATTTAAGGTCTGAAACCTACATTCCACAAGAATGGGAACACCCACAGTTGAGTGAGTAAAATAAAAAACAAAGCTCATATTGTCTCCACTTCTTACTCCCAAACTCACCAGCTGCCCTGCAATTCACTGCTCAATAACTTTCAACAGTCAATACCTACAAATGGAATGAGGTCACTTGCTTCTCTAGTATTTTACTCTTCACACAGACATAATTTTTACATCACTTACTCAAGGTAGCTAAGCAATGCCTGACATCGCACTTAAAGGTAAAATATTATTTAGCTGTATCTACAACACAATTAGCTTGAATTTATGCATTTTCAAGGCTAACCAGGCAGGTTACATTCAGCAGTCTCTAGCAAGCTTCATGCTGTTTCAAATAAAGCTCGCAAAACCAGCGTTTAGTAAATAGTCAGCTGAAGATGTTCTTCCATTCAAGAAATGCACAGGTAGCACTGGGCTTTTGTGAAGTATCAATACACCTCGGATGAGAGGAATGCATTAGGACATCCAACAAGCATGCAATAAACACAAAACGCAAGTGTTTAGCTATGCTACCTAATTAAACTGTTAAAAATCAAAATATAAAGGCTGGCAGATTTGGAATTAAAGCCTTGTTTCCAAACTACCATTATTTTATAAGAATGCTTACTGGCATGGGGATGTCCTAAATGTCCTTCTTTTACAAGTTACAATGATGAAAAATCCAAATCCACGAAAATCTGCCCACGGCCATTTCTCCAGAGGTTGTTTTCAAAAATGGCTTCCACAATTCCTTGGTATTTATGAGGCCCCTTAGCCAAAAGCTTAACTTTCGAGTGACTCTGGACAGTTCTTGGTACATGTTCTGAAGTTTGCTGGTGAAATATTCCACATCCTCTCATATTACCTCATGATCATTACTAAGCACTAGCAAATTTCAATGTTCTCACGATGTATAGTCTATATAAATGACTAAACTCGTCAGCAAAAGCTGCAAATGATTTAAATGACTAAGCATGAGGGTAATGCAAGTTAAAAAAATAAACTTCAATAAAAGAGGTTTCTAAAGCATCTATTTAAACACAGAAAAACCCCTAAATGAATCAGCCACAATCACATACACTTGTCCAAAACCAGATCTTTAATTTATTTTTGTATACGCGCATTATGCCATGAATTCATAGGGAATTGGCTCCAGCAGTTCTGGGTCCTTGCCATTAGTTCTCACGAAGTGTGCTTCTCTTGGTGGAGCAGGCTGCAAACAGAAAAAACCAAAGAAAATTCATGGCACTAAAGCTCAAAAACAACCTTACAGAAAATACGTTCTGACAACCATTTAACACCTTATTATATAAACATTACAGCAATTTTACCATTCCTAGTCTCTAAAATTTGATTCAAGGAGTAGCAGTAAGAACATGGATCTGCTAGAAAGCGTGCTCAGCTCTCAATGCTGAATTAAAAAACCTACGCTTTACTCTCAGCAAGTAACCAACCCAGCGACCGTGATGTACCCTGTGGTTCCAGAACAGCCATTACCTCCTCTCTGAAGTCTCATTATTAATTTTTTCTTAAAGGGTTACAACAGAACCTATCGCAACTAAAAATTCAACTAAACCAAAGACACTACTACTGATCCTAGAAATCAGCCAGAGCTGCTACTGCAGATCAGCGACAGAACAGGAAGCATTCAGCCCTTTGTTCACAGCCAAGAGCAGAATTTTCATCCTGGCAAGTGAAGTTCTGTTCAGGCACCAAACGTATCACACAGCTCAGATGCAGACACACCGTGTGCTGCCACTCTACTCAAATAATTAACCTCCCCCAGAAGGACTGCGAACCCAACAGACACATTACCTGACGTTTCAGTTGAACCCAAATGCCTTTTTCTTTTGCTTCCTTTTTCTTCCTTTCATTTTCCTTCACACGCTGCAGAAAGCTGTCTCTGCTCTTGGAATGTTTAATGTGCTCAATACGCACATTAATTCTCTTGGCAAGAATCTTGCCCCTAAAAAAGGGAATCAGTTTTCAATTTACTGCACTGTTCCTTTAAACCTAAATTAGAGACCTTACATGAGTAACTCCATAAGCTCAATTACAGGTAATTTTTCTTTAAAGGGCAATACCTCAAAACACACATCTGCAGATGCACATTAGATATAACTAAAAGCTTATTAGTATATAAAAACGTGCTGACAATTTGAAGTTAAAATAGTAGAGAATACATCATTTTAGCCTTGTAGCATACAAAAAAATTATTACCAATGTACTCCAGTCCAATTCCTGTAACACCATACCAACTTGTCTTTTTCTGACTAAACTGTACAAAATGCAGCTGGATGCAGCTACAAACTAGTATCTGAAAAGGGCTTCAGTACCAACATGAAGCTTTGGCTGAAAGAAACCCATTAGGTAACGTCACTGAAAATGCCACTCAGTAAAATAAAAACTGTTTCCTTTGACAGGATCCAAGTCAAACGAGCATCATTTGCTTGGGTTTTAAAAGGAAATATACTTTACCCACCGTGAATGACCAATCAAGACAACAACTGTCTAACTGGCAAAGTGAAAGGAGGGTGCAATTACACAACAACCTTCTCAAATGCGAAGTTTTAACACACAGAATTTGATTACTTACTTAACCTGCTTGTTAACAATAATGCCCACAGCATGCTGAGTAACATTATATACCCTTCCAGTCTTCCCATGGTAACATTTGTGGGGCATGCCTTTTTGAACAGTACCCATACCCTGTTAAGAAGTAAAATAAGAAAGGAAGGAAAAAAAAAAAGGGGGGGGGAAATAGTAGTATTAAGGATTTATTTCTCAGAAGTAATTTAAAGTATATGTTTCAAATTATTTGAAATTCATTTAAAAATACTCCTATTTCATCCTTGTTAGAATTTATAATCATGCATTTTATATCTGAAGACCACCACATTTTGCTATGTCAGGTCTGGTTGCTTTCAGTGTCGGTGAAATGACTGATCACTTTGCTTTCAGCAAAAGCAAGCAATCACAAGAGACATTCATCATCAAGCTCCAGTGCATCAAAAAATGTCAATTCTCAACAGTTAATTCTCTCCAAGAGACAAATAACAAACAAGCAAATTATACACCACCGTCTATGTCACTGATATAAGAACAAAGCATTTCAAATAAAAGCAAAGATTCAACAAAGTAGGTGTCCTTGGTGAAACGTTTTCAGATTCACTACAACCTAATTTGGAAAATATAACTGACTTTAAAAAACAAATTCTAAAAAATATCAAGCGATGGAAACACCGCCCGACTTTCCCCCCGTATTTATATGATGTATCCTTACATTTATTTCTTGGTTTCTAGTTTCAATATGGCTTTGCAATTACCAACTCTGTGCATATTTATTTTAAGAGATGTAACTATGAGCTTCCACACCATAAATCACATCTCTTCTGAAGAGTAGGCTTAAGTTGGGCAAAACACAACATCTACTCAAGGGACAGCTGAGGTTCCTAAAAAAGTAGTGCCAGAAGGCACCGCACAGCAACCTGAGCATTAGATATGGTATCTTTGACTCATGTTTTTCAGGCTGAACACAACACCAGCCAAATTATACATAAAAACCCCACGTAAACCAGCACGTGATACTGGATCAGAAGCACTGTCATTCCAGTACTGCTCCAAAAGTGAGCGCAGGGTACTTGTATTGACACAAATGACCCAAATAACAAAAAAAGACACCTCAGGAAACCAGAGACTGAAAAGTATTACACTGTTTTAGCTTTAAATTATGAAGCACTGCAGAAAGTACCTTGATATCAACTATATCACCCTTCTTGTAGATCCGCATATAGGTAGCCAGAGGGACAACTCCTGTTAAGAGATACAAATTTGGATACTTTTAAAGCCAAGAGTTTCACATTCACACATTAAAAAGGATGGGGGACACAAATCATGCATTTGATTTTCCTAAATACACTAAAAATCAAGGTATCTTTTTTTTTAAAGCAGTAATTACCTTTTTACACACTTCCAATTTTTAAAAAATCAAACTCAAGAAAAATAACAGTTTTAATTGTGTTCCTAGTGCCAAAGTTGAAAAGGCATTAAACTATTTATTGCTTCTTTATAAATGCAAATATTCTAACTGCTTATTGCTCAGACACAAAAAACTCTATGTTCTAAATAACTGCTGGAATATTTTCTTTACCTTCAAAATAATTTTCAGGCAGTGACAGAATCAGCATTGTTACTGCTGACAAGCAATCAGAGTACCAATGCATCTGCAGTAAGAGCTGAGGGTTTATCTGCATACTGTTATACGGTTTTTAGCCCAAGCTGTCAAAAATCCTTTAACACAAAACACTGCTTCACAAATGCTCCTCGGGGACTGCTGACATCCATCAGGTCAGTAACTTGATGCAGTATTCTTACTGCCAGGTATACTCACCATGCTTGCGGAACGGCCTTGAAAACATGTAACGCGTCCCCCTCCTCTTTCCCTTTGTGTTCGTCATCTTGGCAGATTACTGCAAAAGCAAAGGCAAATTATTCACAACTACCAGTTCGCTCCCTAAAAATCTGATGGCCCTTTAAGGTATTTCAGAAAAAACAGTCTTTAGGCCTACTCAGAACGACACTGCTTCTAAACTGCTGTGTCAATCCAAGCAATGCTATTCATTCAAGACGTCACCAGCAATCAGATACCACAGGGTAACTCAGGTTAGAATTGATGCTAGCAAGTCACCCAGCTCAAACTCCTGCTTAAAGCAAGGTATACTATGAGATCAAACCAGGCTACTCAGGGCTTTGCCTATCAGGTCTTGAAACCCTTTAAGGATCACAGAATATTCTGGGTTGGAAGGAACCAACACTAGTCAAAATCCTGACCCTGTACTGGACGACCCAAGAAGCAGATCATGTGCTTGACAGTATTGTCCAAACACTTCTTGAACTCTGTCGGTCTTGGTGTTGTGACGACTTCCCTGGAAAGCCTGTTCCACTGCCCAACCACTCTCCAGGTGAAGAACCTTTTCCTGACATCCAACCTAAACGCCCCCTAGCAAACCTTCAGGCCATTTCCTCGCGTCCTGTAACTGGTCACCACAGATGAGCGCCTGCCCCTCCACTTCCACTCATGAGAAGGTTGCAGACTGCAATGAGGCCTCCCAAGTGACCTCAGCCGCTCCTGCTATGGCTTTCCCTTTACACCCTACTGCACAGCCTCCCTGGGCAACCTGTTTGGAGGCCTGGATGTTCTCACGATGAACATTTTCCCCCTTATATCCAGTACGAGCTTCTCATTCTGACTTAAGCCGGCTGTGTCACACTCCTGCCACGTGCCCTGCCCAAGACAGCTTCCAACTCAGAATATTCTGCGAAATCCGTGAAACCTCTGCCCCAGGTTGGCTACTCCCCGCTCTCTACAGGAAGTACTCAAAAAGTAGAACCTCCACCACCACATTTGCCGGCCGATATTAAGTCTGGCACAAGGCACACACGCCGTTCCTGCCCTGACCTCCCGCCGGCGGCCGCGCCGTGTCCGGGTCCCGCCGCCACGTGCTGCCGCCCCGGCGGGGCCCCGCTGCTCCGCTCCTGCACCCACGGCCGGCCTCGGCGTCTCCTTCCTCCCTCCCATCCTCCCTGCATCCCTCAGCAGCCGCCAGACTGGCAACCCACCCCCACCGGAGCCCAAGGCCTGCTCGCTCCCTCCAGCGCCCTAACAAGGCCGTGCCACCCCCGCCGGAGCCGGCGGCCCCCGCCCGCCACTGCCGGCAGCGCGATCTCCCTGGCCACCATCCTCCTGGCCACATTATCCCCCCGGATCCCCTTCCCCGTGTCCCCCCGGGGCAGCGGAGCGGCCCCGGCGCTCACCGTGCGTGCGCTCAAAATGGCGCCCGGCTCCGAAAGAGAGGGGCGTGGCGCCGCGCCCTCCTTTAAGACCGGGGCCCTGGCGGGGCTGCCCGCGCCGCGCCTGACGGGGAGCGCCGCGGAGGCGGCATGTCGGGGGCGGAGGGGTGAGTCGCGGCGTTCCCTGGGATGGTGATGCCCAAAAACGGCCGCGTGGGTGCCCCGCTCGGAATCTGACCCTTGGGCTAAAGGGGAGACAGCCGCTGGGGGTTTCATGGCTGTGCGTGTGTTTTCATGGCAACGGGCAGACACTGATGCCTAGGAAGTTCCGCCTGAACGTGAGGAAGAACTTCTTTACCGTGCGGTGGGACAGATTGCCCGGAGAGGTTGTGGATTTTTCCTCACTGGAGATATCCAAGAACCGTCTGGATGCAATCCTGTGCCATGTGCTCTGGGATGACCCTCCTAGAGCAGGAAAATCGGACCAGATGACCCACTGTCCCTTCCAACCCGACCCATCCTGTGATCCTGCGATTCTGTGACAGGGGGCTGGAAGAGGCTTGTTAGTGGGAGTGACAGGGAAGTGGGAGAACGAGCCAGGTGTCTGTTAGGGATCCCCAAGAGTGAGTCCTGCGGTGAGCAGCCGGCCCGCCTTCCATAAGGAATTAAGTTCGAAAATGTAAAACATAAGCAGCCAGGAAGTTGTTTCGCGACATTAAAGTGCCACACCGACACTTAAATACGCGGTAGTGTGAGCCTGCTGTCTCACGGCTGTGTGCCAGTCACGGCGGCCGGACCGGAGATCCCGGATTCCCGGGCAGGGGAATGGGGTGGGAGAAGCAAGCCAACAGCAGAGGCGAAGAGGCCGTGCGGGTCTAGGGTTTCTTATTATTGTAATGGGTTTGCTCCGTATTATGATGCCGTAATCTCCAGTTTGTGTGGCAGATGTTTCCACCAGATAAATAGCGCGTGGATTCTCCATAAAGAGCCTTTATAGGGCCACAGGTGCCTGAAAAAGAAGCGGATGGTGAGCGGCTTCCAGAGCTGGCAGAGTCAGTCATTGTGTATTTGTGCATCCCCAGTATCTGAGCAGACAGGAATCATCATGGGAAGCTGATTGCTGTGAGACAAGAGAGGGCCTCCTTCCCCCGAGCTAATAAGCAGGGAAGGTTCAAAACTTGTCTCAGCAAGGAGTTGCCCTGCTGCAGAAATTTTTGTTTTGAATGAACAAAGCACATATTTAATCTAGGGGAGGGATGATTACTTAAAGCGGCATATAAAAATATACTTGATCCTCTGACTAACTTCCCAGTTGTACTAATGTTGTCTTGCAAAACTCAAGCCCTTTCCATCATCACTTTAAAGCTAGATTAATATTTATGGATTGCAGGAATGGATATGGAGGATTAAATACAGTGTCAGGTTCTGCTTGCAGAGCTACCTGGCAGGGCATGTTCTGACAGACAGGCCCTGTCTCCACACGAAATCTTTTGGAGTAAAGTGTTATATTTAGAAAAACATGTCTGTACACCTGCTCTGCACCATGAAAAATCTAGAATTAAAAGCACCTGATATCTACGCAGAGCAAAACTATGTAATTTACTATGCATTCAGCCGAGGTACTTTCCATACATGAAGATTGTTATAAGCCTGAACAGCTCTTAGATAAGGAAGTGTATTGGCAACAGATAGGTTTCAGGGAAGATATCAAGCACAGTAAAGACAGGAAGCCCAATTCTAAAAGGCACTGCTGCGTAAAGGAAGTTAGGCATTTGCAATGAGCTGAATGCCTTAGTCTTACCAGTGACTTACATAGTGGGCAAATCTCCACATCAGCCTAGAAGGAATGGGGAAGCAATGCCACTTGTTGAAACTCATGCCCACATACGGAAGATGTATGGAAACCTACAGAAACTCTAGTTCATAAGGGAGCAGGAACTGTGAACTTAATTAAACTCTGCTTTATTTGAGGCCATGTAAGACGTTCAGGATGTGCTGCGTATTTTTTTCCTGGATAAACTGCATGACAGGTTGATTCAAAATTTCAGGAATGTTTTTATTCATAAATTTACTTTGATTGGCCCAGTCTCGGGATCCTTCTGTAGCTCCACATTTTAAAGAAACAATCGTGTTTCACAGTTTGTCTCCATTGAATCACTCCCTAGGCATGCTATCTGGGTCTGATCCAAAAGTCCAGCAGTCCATCCTATCTACCAACATTTGATATGTGGTTTCCCAAAACTGTGACCTGATGAGCAGTTTAAGACTGCAGAGTCTTTGTATGTCGCTCACAAAAGGATTTCTTAATAATGGTTGTCTCTAGCAGATAAAGCTGCACAAGCTGAAGGGTGAATTCTGGTCTGCAAACCACAGCTAGCAGCCAAGCAGATGTGGGGGAGACCTGCACCTCTACACTCCAGACTGCAGGTGCCCCCTTTACTGCCCTGCCTCATACTCTCAAAAACCCAACCTAAACTGCTCTTCCCTGATCAAACTGCAGTTATAGGACCCAGATTCCAATTTCTTCTAAGCTATAGAGCAAGCACCACGTCAGGTCCTGCTTCAGAAACACGAGGTGCTCAAGACTGGTGTAAACATGAGTAGCAACGCCCAGCTTAACGCAAAGGTTCAAAACACCATGAATGTCCCAGGCTGGCGCTCCACCCATTATTGTACTCTGAAAATCTTACTACACTGTGGTAGACTCTTTTCCTCCCACTCTCCCTGACTTGGAGGTAGAGCAAGACAGGGAAAACAGCTTCAAGGGGAGCCAGTTCAAAAGTTGTGGGGGAAAGGAGCTTGAAAGGGAGATCTCATTAGAAGTCAGAGGAGTGAGGACTAGATAAACATAATTTTGTTTTTCAGAATGGAAAGTATCATGCCAAAAAACAACCATTTTCAGTCTCCAAGTCAGGTATCTTTTCTGGGAGAGCCCTATTTTGTTTCTGCCTGGACAACAGCTCTCTCTAAACAATAAATGTGCTGTGATGATTCTGCAAATGGGGTTGTCAGGAATCCTTCACTGAAATTTTAATGCACAGTGGGATCTGGCTCGCTCCTGCACTCAGAGGACCAAGTGATACACACAGAGATCTCAAGTGTGACATTCAATTTGTGTTGGGTTATTCAGCAGAGGTGTGGAAGGAATTTAAATTAATGAGAGCTTGTAAAGGGCTTTGAGGTGAAAAATGAAAAATATTCCCTTTCAGTAGGGTGTAGGTCTCCTGTGTCTCACATAATGCATTCAGTACATGAAAAGGAAAAAAGATAGCTGATTAGGACTGGAGCAAAATTTAAACAGAAATAACTGAGAATAGGTATTAAATAACGAGGACTGAAATCTCCAGCTCCTCTTGTGATAATGCTGCAAAACCAAGAATCTAAATTAAAAATCAAGAGTGTGAAGTTACCCCATGCACAGAAACACAGTGTCTACACTGCGCTTTTGATCAAAAAGTTACTGATCAAAGTAATCTCTGTCACCTCTTCAGTTGACCCTGTTATTCCATTGTTCACTCTTTCCAAAATGATTGTTTTATATGGCATCTCAGAGTCACTTGTCCTGTCCCTTTCATGGTCTCTTCAGCTCTCCCAACTCCAACGACATTTTTCTTTCTGTAGTCAGTACATGTCTTCATCCACAAAACCCATTCTGTAAATACAAGCCTGAGCCTAGCTTCATGGGAGTAAAAATCAATAAAATTTGTGTCTAAGAAACCAATTGCCTTCCAAAAATGACAGTATAGACAAACTTCTTCAAGGGCTGACTCTGGAATCACACCAGTGCCAGTACAGGTGGCTGTACTGAGCGCGTTGCCAGTGAGGCACATCGTGGAGAAAGGAATGGAAAATAGCAACAGCCTCTGAGAGAAATAAAAAGGCAAAAACTGTATAGACCAAGAATTGTGACGAGGCCCAGTATGTCACACATTAGTGAAAGATTTTATTACATTAGTGTTATTCATACATTAATTGCCAGTTCAAATTGTTACTAGGTGCAGGTAGTTTGACACTAGAGGCAAAAAATTGGCTTTTTTTCCATCATTACCTAGACCGCCACATAAAATCTGAAATGCTGAAAAAGTTCTGTGATTCAACTACTTATTTGGTTAACATGGCATTCTACTTTCCATATGTACATCAGTGAATACTGCAGTACTGCCTACACAGAAATCATCAGGAACTTCCAGGGAAGCTGTTCAGTAACTGTTATGAGCTTCTCACGGGTACCAAGTAATATAAGCCATTTATCAAACTTCAGATACATCAGACTTCATTTCAAAAGCAATTGATGTCCCTTTCCTCACTTACTAACAGAGTGGCTTCTCAGTCAACTGGTTTCATTAATGCAGTATTTTCTTAAACTTCTTGTGTTACTGCCTTTTTGTCTCTGAGTAACCTCTCCTGAGTCCAAACCATCTAGCCAGGAACAATCAGCACCTCATATTGTCACCATCAGCTTCGCTGTACATTTACTTATTTTGACTAAAGATGATCAACCACTATTAGACTGACACAGCTGGTAATTAAAGGTAATTCTGCTCCTTGACAAAGGAAGTGAGCTGCTGCCAGCAGTAAATCTGCATATGTGCGGATTTTTGCAGGTATTTTCTTTTCATAATGTATTGAATATAAGTATAGAATTAATATCAAAATATATTGTTAAACATTGGATATTCCACAATCCAGCCTTGAGCACTTTGGTAGACCTCTTGGGAGCTATTACTACAGTTTAAGAAATAACTGGCTTAAAGATTACAATGCTATTTTCTCTTTATTTGTTTATGTCTGATCTTATGTGTACTTCTGGCTGGAAGAACAGCAATGCTTGCCGTTTTTCTGTAATGATTTACACAGAACAATATGTCCTTTACACCCTCATTTTACTAAGCTAAATAACCCACACTCTTGGAGCCTCCACACACATAGCAGGTTTTGTGCATTTGCTCCCATTCCCACACACCTTTCTTGATTATCAGTGATCCAATTTGTACATACACAACAGTCCCAGTTTACTTTCTTAATATGCACTGATTACTTCCGAGATACTTTCTGTTGTTACTGAAGATGATCACAA